GAACAAAGCTGAATACCATACATGTAAGTACCCGCGAAAACTTAAGAAAACAAATATGTGTGTGTGTGTGTGTGTCTATATCTATCTATCTATCTATCTATCTATCTATCTATCTATCTATCTATCTATCTAAAACGTCTGCAAAGAAGCTCGAGCAAAGAATCACGTGCAAAATTTAATGTCTCCGCCAAGAGCAGCTGCTGCTAATTAAACTGGAAATCCGTTGGCCGAAATCTACAAAACAACAACAACTCAATAAACATGATGAGCAGTGAACTTTTGAATGAATTGGGCTTAAAGTCAAGGGAGGTTGAGCGTGCTGATAATACTTAAAACGTTTATTCCATATAGGGCGGTTGTGGTAGCAAGTTAATCAACTACAGCTTCCAACCGAAGGAAGGCATCATAAATGATATTGAAACACCGTAGAAGAGATAACGCACCGTATTTTCATCAGGAAGTGTACTTCGATTAGGATTTTTTTTTCAAATAGACTTCCTGGTCTTTCAATCCTTATCAGATTAAAATGGATCAGGCAAGTCTTAAATTTTCCTTCTTATCGGCTTAAAAGCTTCTTTTACTATTTAAATATTATTTTCAACATGTTTTGCATCAGTTCATCCAACAAATGTTAGTATGCTTCTCAGTATTTTTATTTTATGCACCAGTTTTATTTGTGGGAATGTTTGGAGGACTAAACATGAAGGGTCTGCAAAACCAGGGAACTTCAAAACTCAAATCTACTGTTTTGCTTTCTTGGGATCTGTTCTTTCCTAGCCAGACTGGAGACCACCTTGACTGCACTACTTAGCTCATCATGGAGATGTATTACATGTAAAGTAAATATCATTGAAATGCTTGCAATATCTACATTTGGACTGATAGATGACACCCCCCAGTGGTTTTCATGTAGACATTAAATGGAAGCAGACAGAAAGTAGAATCCTGAAGAAAGGATAAAGTAAGGATCTTGGGCCAAACACAAGGAAATACAACTCGAAAGTCTGAAGAGACTGCAGCTGCACAGGTGTGCAAACTTGTATATACAATCATTAGAGCCCAGAGTTGAGTATGGCCTTGAATGGCATATTACTTGGGTACACTCCAGAGAGGAAGCCGGGCAAAGTTTACAAATAAATAAATTCACATTTAATCAATATATTATCACACTGTATAACTTTTCTGTGTTAATTCACCAGCAACCTTTGTACTTGTAGTCTTCAGTCGCTAACCGTTTTTGAGCATTATATACAATCCCTGGTAATCGCTGTGTAATTTTGTACTACAGCAACTCCAGATAGTCATTCTTTTTCCGGTCAATATTTCTGTTTTCATTCATTTTACCATCCTCATCTGAATTTCCTTCGTTTTTAAAACTGTAACTTGGTTTTAAAATAATCAAGAAATATACCCACATTTTTTATAATTCTTTATTTCTTAAATGTGTATCACAATGGATAGCTTTAAAACAAGCTAACAGTACTATATGTAATTCAGGCATATGTAACTGGTACAGTTCAATAATACATAAACAACACTAAAAAAGACACAAATACACTGTAGACTGGAATTTAAGTTACTAAAAATAAAACAATGTGACATTTAAGAAAGGATTGTTAAGTACCAAGTGATGTAAAGGTCAGCATACTACAAGGAAAAACTATCAAATATGTTCTACATTATCATTTCACTTATGGATTCCATCTCAGTTTAGGAAAACATCCAAGGATCTTAAATGAAACATGTAGTCCTCCAAAGGCAATACTCATGGGTCTTTGTCTGCAATACCATGAACCTTTCACTTCAAAAATGCTTTGGGTTGCACCCAAAACCTCTCATAAATGAACAGATGTCTCTTATTCCAAGCTAAGGTCCCAGAAACACTGTACCTAACACAGGCCCCAGATACAAACATAAAGCTGTAAAGTTAATTTTCACATTTGATTTTGTTTTAGTGATACAGAGTTGTATACTACCTTACACAAGTCCTGTATGCACAATTGTGTTTAACTGATTGTGAAGGGAGACTGTCAATACTGTAATCTAATCAACTAACTCTTGGGAACTGTAGGGAGCTAAAGTTCTGGTCAATTGCGGGCAGATAAAGAAATTGATTTGATAAGATTAATAGAGCATTAACTCTCTGTCCCCCATTTTTGATACAGAGATAAAATCCTAGAAAGGCCTTGAAAAAACCAGAACTTTTTTAGTCAGTCTGTCATTTTCCTTTTCTCCTCTCCTCTCGTTAATTTTTTTAAAAAAATTGATTTTGATATGAGGAAACAAGCAGGGCATGTTAGCTCGGTGACCCTCTATGCAGTGACTATGAAGGTCTGCACTGATGATCATGGGGTTTCAATTAAGTACCTCAAGGTTCCCTTGGTCAACCATGTTATGTGAATATGGTTAATAGTCTGGATAGGACTAATTTTGTTAAATATTATGTTAGAAAAGGAGAAGATTCCTGAAAATATTTAAGATAAAATAATAATTAATGTTGGAGAGCAATTTTTCAAGAATAGGAATAGTTGCAGCCAGAAAGCTGCAGTGTTCTTTAGCAACAGTAAACAAATACTGGATTAAAGTGCAACAGCATCTCTTGGGGGGAAAAATCCTGCAGGAAATATCCTGTTCTGTGTTGAGATGGAAGATTGCCTCTACTCAGGGGCAAGTGTGCTTCTCTCGAAAATCAGAGATTGCCTTCCACAGCGTGCATATAATCCCACCTCTGTAAAAAAAAAAAGTCATAGCAGTTTTTGGTCAGTATCAAGTATCACAAAACATCGGCTGCAGTAAAAAAAAAAATGCATAACCAGATTAGTGAATCTTAACAGCTATATTTATACAGCATATTGGACTTGCTTATTTTTAACCTTGGTTAGCATTTTGGTGGTTGATCATGTGTGAACCCAGGTCATTTGACTGTTTATGATTCAACCTAATCCAGAAAATGGGTTAATCCAGCAATGAAATTATGCAGTCACTAATTTTAGTTCCTACTAATGTACAAGTGAAGTGAGGCACATGATTATGGCGGGAAAGTGGGGGGACTTTCTCAGTGATGTTTCTGTTTCTGGTATGCCTTAATGACTTTTCTGCACCAGGCTGCTTCAATTCACGCATACATTTTATATTCTTTTTTAAAATTTCATGTCTGCATACAGTAATATATATTTTATATGCTGCTGTCCTTATTAATATATTCTTTCATTCTATTTGAAAAAAAAATTCTGTAATCCTCTCAGAAAGCTCCAATTAAGCTTGGTAGAAATATCCCCAAGTCTTTTTTTCTCTCTCAGTGTTAAAACTTGTATTTTACCTTAAAGTCAGTGCTTTAAAAATACATTTCATTACCTTTCCAATCTTTTCTAACATTCAGTTTCCAGTGGCTTTAATTCTGGGGAACAGACTGGCCTATTACCATTTCAGCAATGCTGAACCTGTAATGCTCCGCATAATTAACTGAACCCAGCAGTTAATGTTTTTCATATATTTAAAAAAAATCAAACATACTATCTCACCAAGGCAAGCTTTTTGTAAGCTGCCTTAGGCGAAGGAATAGATTCAAAAAGACAGAAAAGAAAGAGGAAGGGAGAAGGAAATCAGAGATTATGGTCCTTTTTTTTTAGTTAAAAGCAACAAATGAGAATGGATGTACTATGATAATTTGCACAAATAATTTAGCAGTTGCACTGTTACGAAAAGAGCTATTGTAAATACCAGTGTGAATGCTTCTTATTTATTCAATGTCCCCTAGCCCTATTAATTGTTCATCAGCATCCCTAAAGTTTATTTCAGTTATCAAAGTTACAAAGCAGTCTTGACTAAACAGTATTTGTCATATTGCCCTTGTTGTTCCCAGACATTCCGTTTTCAATTGGGAGGGATGGTGACTTCTTAGAACTGATCTACTGGGGT